GAGAGAGAGAGAGAAAATTATAGAGAAGAGAGAGTCGAGCTCCAAAGTTGAACATGTTGAACAACTAAAGCAGGGTTCATAAGCTTCAAACTAGCCAACCAATTTTCGGTTTTTCAAGAACTGAAATTGGTTTGTTTTCGGTTTTTGAAAAACTGAAATTCCAAACATTTCAGTTTTTGGAAAACTGAAAAAGGGTAAAAACGTATTTTTTTAAAAAAATCTTTATGAAGTGAAAAAAACAGACATACCAGTAATAATGGAAAGTATTTGATATTTTGATAATAACAGAAACTATAACGAATATTTATGTAATTTTCTATTTTTTTTTTTTTGAAGAATAGGTTTTGCTTGTTAAAAAATTGGCAGACTTGGGTAGGTGATTCTTTAGATTGGAATCGCTAGGCGACTCATTCGACCGACCGATTGGTTTGATACTTTAAACAATGCTTTTGTGGAAATGAGATTGTATTCTATGACACATGTATTACACCCAATGTATTAAAAATCGGAATGTTCAAATTCTAACTGCCTGGTCAGCCCTATTAGATCAAAACTGCCACTGGCTAGTTCTGTTTTTACTCAGTTTTGGTGAACTGGTTGAGTATTTTTTTAAAAATAAAAATTTATATAAAATCTTAAAAAATAAGGGATTTTGTTTACAATACATTTTTTAGTTTTTTTATTATTTTGGCAAAGATCCGAAATTGTTTTAGTTATTAATATTTATTTTTATATTTTCCCATCTTTTTTGAAAAGGTTAAAAAATACACACAAAACAATTTTTTAAATTTTATATTTTTTAGTAATTTTCTACTTCATATGGATGCACTTTATTTAATCATGCTTTAAACATATTTTTCATATTTTATATGATTTTTTTGTATTTTTTAATTTTTTTTACCGCACAAGATTTGCCCAGTCAGGCCAGTTGAACCGATCGATTGACCTATTAACTAGTTGAACCACTTTCGAGCCCATATCCGGTTAACCATTCCGATTTGATTTTCACACTGATACGCCAACGGGTATGTACAATTACGTCTACCGTCCACACTCGACCACAGTGTTGGAGAATGATATGTTCGTCCAATCGAGCAAACATTTTTTTAACTTTGCATAATATCAAAAGGAATGTCCATTTACCACTTTACTTTATTTTCCCTTTTAACAATTCACATTATCTTCCCATAGAATATCTTTTTTTTTCTTTCTTTTTTAAAAAGAAAAAAGTAGGGTGTGGTTTCTCTAAGGTTGTAACCTTAAACAATCCAATTAAGGTGCACCTCCAAAGTTTATCATAATATATAATTTTGGTGTAAAAATTTATTAGGATTATCTGAAAATCTATGTTTATATCTAATTATAAATTTTTAAGCTAAAAAAATGGTCAAAATCAAGTAGATCTATAAACAGATGAAAATCTTGAAAATGGACAGTCTAGATAATGTGTTGTAAGATGCATTATTTCCGGAATTCAAAATCTTTTTTTTTGTTTGTAATATTCATACATCTTGATGTCGAGATGAACAACTGGAGGGTTTTTCAACGTTAAAACAACCTTCTCCAATGGATTTTTGAAGTGCATTTGTATTTCTACATTTAAAGTCGCAACCTTATATAAACTTTTTCCTATATAGATATACTTTATTTGTAATGATATTACAATATCACCCACATTTTTCATTTATTACATTCAAATTTTAGTATATTACATGCATAGTTGTTTTTAGGAGCCTTAAAAATTTCTCCAAAAGTGTCCTTTATCGTATTTTTTGGTGGTTCTGAAATTTCCCATATTTTGGATCTTCAATATCCGAAATTTTAAAAAATTATTCGGGCCTTCAAGATCCGAAATGGTGGATTTCAGATCTTGAAGGGTAGTCAGGTTTTTTTTCCCTCGTAAATTTTTTTAGGTTTTCAGTATCCAAATTTTTAAAAACTAATCATCTCCCAAGAAAATGAAATTTTTGTATTTTCCCAAAATCCGAAAATTCAACTTTTAAATAAATTTCAGAATTTCAAAATCTGAAATTTTTTGACATTTAAAAAATTGCAATGGGGATTTTGACAAATTTTGAAATTTTAAAATCTGAAAAATCAAATTTTGGATGCCACTAAGATGCAAGTTTTGGATTTTGAAAATCTGAAAATTGAAATATTCAATTTTTCAATTTTTGGAATCTAAAATTGCAAGTTTTTGGAATCTTCAAAATAAAAAATTGCAATTTTTAAATTTTCAAAACCCAAAAATTTAATTTTCAAATAATTTTTGGATTTGAAAAATCCAAAAATATGTGGAGACACTTGACACTAAAATGTAATTTTTTTGATTTTGAATGTCCAAAAAGTTTTAAAATAAAGAAAATCCAAAAAAGGCCAATTTAGTTATTTTAAAAAAGTGCGATGTATTATTTTAATAATGGATAGAAAACTAATATACATGTAATAACAGCAAAATTGAAATAATTGTAAAAAAATGGATTTACATGCAAATTTTTTTTTTTTAAATTCATGGTTTTGATTTTGGCATTTGCAATTTTAAAAAAAAAATTCATGGTTTTGATTTTGTCATTTGCGATTTAAAAAAAAAAAATTCATGGTTTTGATTTTGGCATTTGCAATTTTTTTTAAAAAAATCCATGGTTTTGATTTTTGGCATTTGGTAAATGTACGTGGACGTTTTGGTCATTATCTCCTGTTCGTGTATGCACTTCCCGCATCGTCCAAAAAAATTCCAAACAGCCAACAGTACGTTAACCGTCCACTCTTTGCTTCTTCCTCTCCCTCACGCATTCTCTCTCTCTCTC